CGACTCAGCCACCAAAAACAGTCAGCTCCATGGTCCTCTGAGAGCCCTCCACTCCTCTTCGTTGCCCCCCGCCCCGCGGCTGATACAGGGCTTCTGAAACTGGCATGAGTTACCCCTGGACCATATGAGGTCATTTTAAGTGACACCTACTTGATTTTTTTTAACTAAAAGAGTAATACACTAACTCTAATGGGGATTAGAAAACTATAATTATCCAATGAAACCCATACTTTCCCATGAAATACAAACTTTTCTTTTTACTTCATTTAAATAAAAAACAGGACAAGTGAAAGGAAAATATTAAGTGAATAACAGGAAAATCTTGAGGGGGAGTGCTCACGCCTGGCAGGGCTGGGAAACCCTGCTCTGTGGGGACCCCCAGCATCTACTACTGGACTGCATCACCCTTCAACTGCTGCCCGGTCTCCTGGCCTCGAGGCCCTTCCATCCATCCTGCACACCACAGCCAGACAGGTCTCCCGACCTGTCTCCCGCCCTCATTTCTCTCCCAAACTCACCCATCTTTACCTACCCCAGACATTCTGAATTCCACCTGCGTTTCCAGATCCCACCAAGGGCCTAGCTACGCATCGTTCTGGTCACCCCCGAGGTTGCAGCATGACCGACCCCCCACAGACTCGCTCACTTCCAGCGCCATGCCTGGGTCCCACTGCTTCCACGACCTTCCCCCAACCCCCCTCCTTCTCTGTCTCTTCGAAACCCACCCCGTCCTTCAGGAGGCAGGCAGGTCCTCTCTCCTTTTCTACCCGACAGCCTCTCCCACTCCCCGACCTGCTCTTCACGGGCACCCACCATGCCAACCACCCACCTTGACTCCTGATTACATGCTATTATCCACTGCATTCGAACGGCTGGCTCACCGAGAGCCGGTCCCGTCTACCACTACAACGGGAAGTCCTTGAGGAGGAGAATCTTAGATCTTTATACATATTTATACACATGAATTATTCCATCGTTATGAAAGGATAACTCACATTAGGGGCTCAAAACATCTCTTCATCCCACTTTTTAAGAGAAGCCATGTTTTATTCATCCATCCAGTAAACATTTACCGAGTGCCGACAGGTGTCAAGCTGTGACGAAGACACGGACTGCCACTGAGGAACCTGCCGGCCAGTACAGGAGGCACACACGTCAGCAGCTGATGCCTCACAGCATGACAGTGCTGCCATTACACAGGTAGTAACACAGGCCACACGAGTGATGCCCTGCAGAGAGGACCTGGAGGAAGACCGAGAGCGAAGGGGGTGTGACAGCTTCTGGAAGGTGACAAGTTTCCAGAGCCTGGATGGAGCACAGGGTCGTGGGGGAAGGGATGGGAGGGGCACTAAAAACGGTGGACTGGCCATCGCATGAAGAGCCTCGGTCTAGAACTTGGTCCACGGGCAGGAGAGGCAGTAAAAAGAGACGTAACCCAACCAGCTTGGCTTTAGGAGAAATTTAAAAAACCCCTCTGAGGACACATGGAAGATGAATTGGACTGCGAGCAAGGTCAGTTTGGAAGAAACTGTAACCAAACAGAAGATTGAAACAACAGAGATGAAGAGGGAGGGGCAGATTCGAGAAACACCTGGGAGGTAGAAGTCAGCAGGATGTTCTGACCAACCAGTGGTGCATTCCGCTGTCGAATCAAAAGAGTCTAGGGATTAACTCCTTCGAGAAAAGTTTATTATCTCCTTAAAAAATTACCCATGTCATCTCTCTCTTGTGTTACTGTGGCTAAGTTCAAGGAATCGCTGACTCTAGTCTCTACTCTTACAAACTACAAGAACCTCACTTTGCACTGAATAGATAAGACACACATGGTGGCTGAGACTGATCCACAAAACCTGCCCTCAACTCAAAAGTCAGCACATCACCCCATCAGCAAGGAAGGGCCTAACCAGATTTTGCTCCCTGGCTCTATCTGCACTAAGGATAAGCCGCCTTGAACCAAAGAACACACTTGGGTCTGAACTGTCCCGATTCTCCAGGGCATAGGAAACTTAGGCCAGAATTGCTCTTAAGGTGTAAAAATGCTAAGGGTGTCATACAATATACTCATATGCCTTTTTTTCATATAAAAAACATTCAAAAGAGTGTAAAATATATTGAAATACCAAGAGAGGTGACCTTTTGAAAGCACATTCATGTTCTCCTGGGAAATAAAGAATATGGTCATTCACCACCAAGTGTAATACTCCTCACTTGCACCCGCCTGGCTAAAGGAGCCAACACAGGTAGTTTCAAATTAAAACGGTTGGAGCAGCGAGGCTGAGAATGGGTGTCCGCAGATGGGAAGGAAGGCAACAGGATGCTGTTTATTGGAACCTGTCTGTGATTATAACTTGCTAGAACTTTATCCGTCATCTCCCTACCACTGCCTTTGCTCTGGTCGCCGAGACGAGCCCCGAGAGGCAGGCATTTCATGTACCATTTGGGGATGTCAGGAAACAGGATTCCCTTGCAAAATGAGCACTTTCCCCACATACCTCACAGACGGAGGCACATGACTCCAATAAGCAGAAAGGGCAAAGGTTATGTCTAACGTTTTCTATGTAAGTGCTCGGAAATCCCGTGCTGGCTCATTAGAGAGCCACTGCCCAGCCCGAATCTGTAATGGAAGCGTGGACTGGGAGGGCCCCTTACAGATGGGACAGGGGTCCTGTTACTCGCCAGGGACCCAGCTGGTTCATGGCAGGCCCTGATTAAACCTCCAGGGTCCATTCACGGCTCCCAGGAAACTCATGTCCCTTAAAATAACAGAACATGAGGAACTGGGACACAATCAACTGTGCCCCAGAATTAGTTTCTATAAAATGGAAACTAATAAATTAATGAAGGGGGTGGTGTGCGGGCCCCTTCTCCCCTCTGCTCATATTAGTTAGCTGGGCAGGGGAAAAACTGATTTAAACTGTCTTAAGATGTCAGTTTAGGGGCTTTTGTTTTTACCTTTCTTTTCAAATCCTTTAAAACTCTATTATTACAAGTGTTTGCTTTTGTGGCCTGCACGAACAATGGCAAATATCAAATGCAAAGTACCATGATTTGGGGGATGTCTCAGTCATAAGCAACATCTTTTAGGAACATGCTCTGTGGAAACTTCCTAGTGGAAAAATTACTTTCCAATCTCGATCAATCGAATGCCCCAAACTTGGTGGCCCTACATGTGAACTGTAAAGAAAGCACTCATCCCCAGGGCTGGGGAAGGGGACAGGGGACAGAATTAAAAGTCAATAGCCTCATTTAGAGGAGGCTCCAACGGCCTCACCAGCAAGGGGTGTGGGGCCTTGGAAACCATTGCCCGCCTTCAGGAATAAGGCGCTAAGGATTATGGATGTTTCCCTCCTTGTGGAAAGTTTTGCTTTTTCTCTAGTTTTAGAAAGGGAGGAAGAATGACCTCCCATCTATTTGGTCTAACTCCAGATCATCCGTGCACATTTTATCATTCACCTTGATTAGAACAATGGCCAGACTTCCATCCTCCTTCTGCCCAGAAACTCTCACCGGGAAATTAACATGCAAGGTGAACGATGAACACACCTCCTGGTCTGTAAACCTGTGGACTTCCTGGGTGCCAGGAGGCCTGGGGATTCTTAGGGTTATTTTAGACTTGGTAGCGTCTGCTGGGGGCTTGCACAGTCACACTGATTGTCAAGATTGAAAGTTTCAGAATCTCTATCTAACGGTCCTGTTGCAGGGTATATTTAAGTTTTCAATGTGCCTACTCTAGCATCTTGAGCTTAAGTGCGGTTTATTCTGAAGGTGTGCAAAACAGCAGGCTACGTGTCAAGGGTATTGCTGTAAATCACATTTCAAACTGGTACAACATCTTTATGTCGCCAGATTTTGCAATAAAAAAAAGATGGTTATTTTATTAGGTTTATATTCACAGAAATGTGGTCACAAGACATTTTTAAAGCATGAGATACGGGCCCCCGTGTTTTAAAACTTGCTGTTTTAGGAGGGAGACAGCAGCGTGAGACTGTAAGCAGTTTTCCCAGTTAAGACAGGACTTACAAAGATGGGACATAGAAGTGCTTTCGGATACAACCTCGGCCCTCCCATTACACTGTGTTTAGCAGAGAATGAATTCTTCCAGGATGAAAAACAAACAAAAACTGATGTCTTGCAAATGGTCAGCAATAAGTACGGCAAAGCCAAGGAAAGCCTACGTCCCCCTCCTTCAGCAATCCCTCCAGGATTTTCTCCCTGGATTCCCAAGTCACACACCAAAGCCATTCCGTCCTATTTCCAAGGGGAACTAACTGGCTCTTCCAGACACATCACTGCATTTGCAGATGAAACCTTCCTCAAAGCCTGCATTTCCATTTACCGTTTTTGCTTGCCCTTCCCATCTGACACGCAAACACCAGAGACCGCCTCCATTCTTTCCACACAGCCAAATCCAAAGCAACGTATGTTGCACCCACACCGAATCATGTGAGCATTCAATCCGCATACACACCATTGCCCCACAGAATGCACTCAATGAGCTCCAACAGAGCTCGCCGCGTGCCAATCGGAGGAGCCGGAGACGTCTGCGGGCTCTTTCCGGACTCAAACCACCCAGAACGGTGCCTGGAACCTGTTCCCTTTTCCGAAAGGGAGCTGTTTAAATGCCCACTGGGATAACTGGCCACGCTGCAGGCGCCAGCGAGCCGGGTACTGCAGGCGACACCGGACGCAGGCTCTGCCACAAAGCTCAGGGAGGCTGCTGCGCGGAGCTTGCTGTCGTTTATCTCCCCGCAGCCCAAACGCCCGGCGCGTCCCCCGCCCGTATTTTCCCTAACTAATAGCTCTCAAACCCCATATTGAGAGGGCCTGCTGTGGATCTTGCGGAGGTACAAAATGGTGGATGTGAGCTAATTTTCTCCTGCTTTCCCCATAACTTATCGCATCCATCAGCGCCCGGCCTCCCCTGCCAGCAGCCCGGCAGCGGTGCAGGGAGCCCGCTGCAGTCCGTGGCCACGGCCCGGGGCAGCTACGCGGTTACCAACCTGATGTCATGTAGCCCCGCGAAGCCTGGGGCGCGAAGGCCGCGGGGAAGCGTTTGTGCAGGCGGTAGTCCTTCTCGCTGCGGGACCTCATGCGGTCCGAGGCCCGGTCCGAAAAATCCGAGCTAGGCCAGGCTCGCCGCAAGGTTGTGCTCCGGGTCTTCTTCATGGTGGGGAGGGCGACCTGCTGCCCGGATCCTCGGGCCTCAGCGCCGGGGCGCAGTGCGCGGCTTCATCCGTCTACGGTGGGCACGACCTGGGCGCACTCTGCGCGCATTTTCCCAGCCCCTCGTCGTCGGCGTCTACACCGCCAGCGGCGGGTCCGGCCCTCCCCACGCCCCCACACCCCCCCACAGCGAAGGCTCCGATTTTACACACGTCCCACAATGCATTACACTTCATTTGCAATCCGCCCGGCTTATAGCTTCCAGATTCCTGGGGGGAAAGGCACGTTAGGAGGCTCCCCGGCCAGGAGGAGGCGGGGAGGGGAGGGCGGGGTGGGGGCGCCGAGACTTGCAGTGTGAAAGCAATGGGAGCGCAGACAATGGCCCGATTCAGCGCAGGAGTGCTTAGCCAACTGTGAGCCCCGGCACAAAAGACCCAAACAAATGAGGAAGCCGAGGCCTCTGGGGCTGACCCGGGATCGGGCACCCGGGAAGCCGGAGGGGCGGCTCAGCGCAAGGCGTGGGGATGACAGTGTCCAAGTCGTGTCCCCCTGGGCCTACCAGCCGCGCGGCCCGCAGTCCCGGGCGCAGGCGGGCTCTGCCTCCCCCGCAGTCCTTGGGAGGCAGTCTTCATTACAGAGGCAGGAATGGGGGACGCGTGTGCGCAGGGATCCGAGCAAGCTCTGCAGACAGCAGCTGCGGCGGGCGGGCTCTGCCAGATCGGAGGAGCGGGAGTCGTCCTCGCGGCTGCAGCGTCTAGTCAATCTTGCTCCTTCCCAGGCTTAAGGTGGTGTGCGTGCCTGCGCGCGCGCGTGTATGAGTGCGCGCGCGCGCATGTGTGCCCCGACACGCATGTGCCCCCTGCACATGCATGCTCCTACTTACTGGCCGAGGCGGCGACGGGAGCCATGGCTGCCAAGGATGCGGAGCCTGACGGTCGATCGACACCGCACGCTGGCACAGCCGCCTGGTAGCCAGCGCGCAGAACGGCTATTGAAGGGCAGGAAGCAGGGCAGCCGCCCAGGCTCGCTAATCACCAAGCTGCCTCTCGTTAGAGCACAGATCCCGGCAGGCTTCTCCTTTTCTTGTGAAACACCCTGCGGCGGCGCTGGGACCTTGGCAGGCGCCACAGCCTGGAGCCAGCGCTTGGATATTTACATATTTTCAGGATGGCCCCTCCCCCTCACAGAGAGGGAGAGAAATCCCTCTGTGGGAACGGAAAGATCGCGGTGCCCTGCTCTGCCCACCTGCGCCAAACCCGAAGTCAGCGAGGGCCGGGGCAGGGGGCGCCACCCGGAGCTCCTCCAAAAGCCTCAAACGCCTGGGGACCCGGTCTGTGCCGCTGGCAAGCGCAGTGGAGGTGGCCTGGCTCTTCCTCTCCCCTGGAGCCCCCGGTGAGCGTCACTACCCGCCCTGCGACCCTGCATTCGGGTCCGCGGCTCCGTTACCTACACAGCACGGCGCGGCACAGCTGTTTCTGGTCCAACGACCAATCGCCAAAGGACAACAATGCGCGGCGCGGGGGGCGCGCGAGCGGAGGAGGGGGCGCTGCAGCGTCCCAGCCGAGGCAGCGGGCGCTGGCGGGATGCGGCCTGGGGTGCGGAGGTCACGGGAATTAAAAGCGAGCGGCCACAGGCTCTGAATCCCCGCGACGCTGAGCTGCTACCGGTTCTTCAAAAACACTTATCTCCCCGTTTGGGTTTCCAAAAATGCTTTGGTGTTATAAACAACAACAATGTTTTTAAAACTGGCGTTTCTTTGTCGACATCGTATTTTATTTGGCATCTTTGGGCGGTTTTTCCCCCCCATCGGTGACAATGCAACATACAATATCATCGTCGTCTTGCTGTTGTGTCTTAATCACAGGGATGCGATGTGCATGGCGCTATGATTCTGAGCCGATCCTGGAAAATCCCACACAGCCAAAAAGCCAGCGGGTTCTCAATGATTAAGATTCAGTTCTAGCTCAATTCAGTGCTATTCCAAGGCTTGACTTCTTTGGCGGGGTTAGGAAGGTTTTGGAGAGCCTTGCCGAGCGGGGCGGGGTTTAAGCCGCAAGCATTACAGAATCCAGAACTGGAGCTTCTGCTCAGTATTTCAAGGCTGCCCTCTGTAACCTGAGGCTGGTGTAACTAATCTATCTCTTGGGATACCAGAGTATAAAAAACAAACAACTAAGTATCGGATGGAACTTACATTTACACTAATCAGAACTTACTACTAACTGTGAACCAATTAACTACTGTTCAGGGGCAATTTTTAAGTTAGAAAAGGGGAGTCCCCCCAAAAGACACATTTTGGTAAAATGTCTTTGTTTTTGTGAGGGGACTATTAAGAACAGAAAGACTACAGCTTTAAAAGCCATAGAAGACTAAATGTGTAAAGAAACAGAAAGGTAATAAAAAATAATTGTATGAATGAATGCATAAGATATTGGCATTTAGATATCTCAATCAATTCAAAACACAGTTAGTCAGTACCTCCCAGGAGCCTAAAGTGGTTACATGAATGATCACAGTAGTTACGACAGAAAGCTAATGGCGATTGCCATGGCAACTGTGATATTTATTCACTCAGCCCACCATCATGGACTGTCTGGTATCTGCCAGTGCAGGGATGGCTGCTGGGTGAATAGAACACCACATGGTCCCAGGCAGCTTATGGTCTAAGTAGTAAGCAAATAAATGCACAAATCAAGTGCATTCTGCAAAGAAGAATAACCTCTCTGGGAAACATGACAGTTCATCCGGCACCTACAGGATGCGGAGCGGTCCCAGCGAAGAATGGGGACAGCGATGTTTTGGAAAGTGGGCACAACACAGACAAAGGCCCAGAGGCAGGAAGGAACCGTGGCTTCAGTCGGAGGAAGCGAGGCAGTGTGACTGGAACTGGAGCACCTGAGAAAGGTGTGCGGTGAGGGCGTGGAGGAAGGTGAGCGCAGGGTCGTGGAAGGACTCGCAGGCCATTGTAAGGGCTTTGTATTCTGCTTCAAGTGTGATGTGAACCACTGAAGGGTATTAAGCAAAAATCATAATAATAATGTTATGTATGGAATTTCGACATAGAAGGGGCTAGAGGGGGAATCTGTTTGAAGGGAGGGTTCAGCCCAGAATTTTCTGGAAAGTAAGTTTGAACCACACTGGACTTAAAACAGAAAATAGTCATTGTTCATAAGAAAGAATGAGAGGGGTGATACATATCTTGGAAGGAGAGCTAGACCTTCACTCAGGCACCTCTGCATGCGGTCTTTGGTGGGGAATGATATCATCCAATGTCCGTACTTTCAACGGGGGCCCTTGGAGCCAAGGCCAAAAGCCAGACAGAGCAGGTTCAGGTAGTAAGTAGGTAAGGGTGGCGGAATCGGATCAGAGAGTAAAGGAGGAGAGGAAGGGGCAGTTCAGCGACTTGTCGGTCACATGACAACATCAAAATCGGTCATGAAGGTAAGGCTAGAATCTAAGCAGACAGCATATTGTGAGACCAATCCTGTCTGAAGAAAGAGGGTGTGGAATTCCAGTTATTACAGCCGCTGTTACAATCAAACTCCATGTGTCCATCTGTCCCATGGGAAGATTCACTGCCATGCGCAAGCCTGGTTTCACATCCTTGAACCTGCTGGAGACAATCTGGGTCATGAACTTCCCATCGAGTAAGTTCAGGTGCGTAATCCCGGTATCACTACTACAAGGGTTTAGAATTAAATACAGAAGTGACAAAGCAAATCAATTTTGTAGCATTAGTACTTTTTTAAAAAATCGGACTTAGGAATAATTTGTGCATTTGGCATTTCCATATCAGATAGATTAGAGGCACTAATTACACACACTTGGCTTTGTGATTCTAATTCAAATGTATAATTGATTTTAGACTTACAGTTTTGAGTTGAAAAGTGTAAGAATTTTGACTTTGAAATTCTCCTCATTTAGAACTTTGGTTTATTCGATTGACAAACGCTGAATGAACTTAAGAGCTATTCAGTGCAAACTCTTTGAGGGCAAGGGGCATTTTCTGTTTTCTACATGATTGTCCATTGCTTTCTTGTGTTCATACTGGTATCTCCAATGGCCAGCAATGCCTGCGTGTATCTGATGACTTACAGGGCCCAATTAAGTACTATGGAAGATTTGGTTTGAGTCCTTCCCAATCACGCACACTGAGTGCTTTTAAAAAATGAAGTGTACTCAATTTGTAAATGCAGTGTAACTCCCTCAGTGAGGGACCTCACTGTCTCTGAATGGGGCTAGTTGTTCACCCAACAGACTTTCGTCTTCAGTGTGAGCTGACCAAATGCTTTTCAAAGCCTCCCCTGAGAGCTACGGTCTTCATTTTTTTATTTTAAAAATTTCCAAAAATTTTTAACTTACAAATACAAAAATTTCCAAAATTTACAAATAGGATGAATTGAATTTGAGACTTAAGGAAAATCTGACTTTTCATTTTTACTCCTAGTGAAGAAAATTTTGAGCTTTTGAACTTGTACCTCTAGTACCCTAAACATTAATTAAAGACATCTGTAAAGCATCTGTAAATGGTCTTTGCCATGCACAGAAAGCCCCCTCGGACATCGAAAAGCCCACACTCACCACAGAGACTGGCAGATGTAGATCAAAGGAACTGAACTACTGAAGTGAGTACTTCTCTGCACTTAGTACTTAGTACTGATATGAGTGAATGTACTTGGTGCTAAAGTACTCAGTACTTAGTACTGATGACTTCGTACTTCTCTGTACTTAGTACTTAGACTGATATGAGTGAAAAATTAATGTAAGGGCTAACAGTCCTGAGCCATGACCTTGTATCCTAGAGGAGATGAATTTCACCCAGGACCTCCTAGGCACACAATACTCCGGGGTCCAGGGACATGCCCTGATGTGACACTGGCAACTCCAGTAGTAAGTACATCAGACTCATCAAACTCAGAGGCAAGCCACTGAAACTGCATCTGAACCTGCCCACAGCCTCCTTTCTCTGCCAAAGACTTTGGTACAAAGACCTAAATATGCAGAAAAGAAATGGGTGTCTGGGTGCACTCAGGGGCTGTGGCCCTCTGTGGTGCCCCGCACCTGGATCCAAGTGGGGAGGTCCCTGGAGCAAGAACAGAATCCCGAGAAGGTGGACACAACACAAGCGCCCACCAACAAATGCACACACAGAATGTGGTCTACACGTGTGGTGGGATGTGAATCAGCCTTAAAAAGGAAGGAAACTCTGACACGTGCTACAACGTGGATGAACCGTGGAGACACTATGCTGAGTGATGTAAGCCAGACCCACAACAAGACAAACACTGCATGACTCCACTTAGATGAGGGACCCGGAGTGGCAAACTTCATCGAGACAGAAGTAGAATCCTGAACGTCAGGGCCTGGGGGCGGGGCGAGAAGAGGATCTGGTGTTTAACGAGGTTCACCTTGGAAAGATGAAAAAGTTCTGGAGATGGTCGCATGACGGTGTAAATGTACTTCCTGCCGCTGAGCTGCACACTCAAAGATAATTAAAATGGGAAATGTTATATTACTGAAGCTTTAAAAATATAAAGAATAGAGTGCAGGGAACAAAGCCACCGCCGAGAAGTGGCTTTGCGTGCGACCTGGTCTTTCCCGGCACAGGCTGAGCTCGACACACACACCCGACCCTTCACCACCTCTGAGAGCAAAGCTGCATCAGACAAACTGTGGACATGCAACCAGCGCTGACACAGACTGACAGTCAGGTCCCACCCAACTGTTACCGGAAAATGGGTCTGTCGAGAACGCGTTTGAATTTGTAAAGATCCAGAGGAAAAGATGTTTAACTTCTTTTGTTTACAGCCACTGAGGTTTTTCTTCTTTAAAATTGATATTAAGAAGTACTCCATGTTAACATCCCATTTCTACCAGCTGGAGGGGTCGAAGGAGGAAGAAAATCGATGGAGGAAGCCCTAAACAGTCTTATTTGGCTGAAGGGTCCGGAAATGGTAAGGAAATAGGAGCAACTGGGCTGGAAAGGCGTACTGGAGAGTTAGTTGGTGGAATAACTGGGACGTGAGGCCAATTCGTCTGTACATTTCAAAAGGAAAAGGTACTGTGAATCCTGAACACAGGAGAGACGTGAATGGCCAATCGTATTTTAAAATCTAACACAGTGGGAAATGGCTACAAACAGGCCTGAGAAGTCTCTCTGGGATGATAAAAATGGTAAAGCTAGATAGTGGTGATGCCTCCATAATTGTATAAATGTTTTAAAACACACCAAACCCTTAAAAATGGATGAACTGTATAGTATACAAATGATCATGCTGTTTCAAACAGTTAGCCCAGCCCCAGAGGGAAGATGGCCTGGGAAACAGACTCCGGAGCCGGAAGACCAGTGAGGAGGCCGCGGCACCAGAGCCACTGAGATGGTGCAGATGAG